TATATATATAGCGTAGTGGTTACAAATCGGGCTGCTAACCTCAGGATCAGCAGTTCGAAACTACCAGCTATCCTGCGGGAGAAAGATGACACAGCCTTGGAAACCCTGTACAGGGTCTCTATGAGTTGGAACCGACTCCACGGCACATAACAACAACAACAATATATATATGGAGCTCTGGTAGCGTAGTATACACACATACACACACATATATACATACACACATTTTGTTAAGTGCTGTAGAGTTGGTTTTGACTCATAGCGACCCTTTATAGAGTTTCTGAGGAGCAACTGGTGGATCTTGAGCATTTTTTGTTTTTTTAACTTTTTATTGAGAATTGAGTGGAGGCTAACTGACAAGATCATCAGCTTTACATTCAACAAATCCTACACTTTGTTTCATCTCAATGATTAAAGTCCCCTCCTTCCACCCAACACCAGTTATCATGAGCATTTTTGGTCCTGGATTTTAACCTGTTAACTTCCCAACTAAAGCCCCTAATTGTGAGTATGCTCTGTGAGTTTGCTGTGACCATTACAGTGTGTTACTGATCCCCAGCAGAGATGTGGAGAGTGCTGTGCAGGGATGGTTGGCGTCAGGTTGGTAAGGAAGGCTGGAGTGTAGAGGCATAGGAATTGGCCTTGGTTTGCTTTGAGGTTGATTCTCCTTCCTCCTTGTAAAGTCAGCAGAGGTCAGATGCACTTCCATGCCATTCTAGCACCAACCTAAACTAATACAAACAGATGTAGAAAGTCGAAACAGACCCATCACAAATAAAGAGACTGAAGATGTCATCAGAAACCAGATTGCTATACTTGGGAATATTGTCAAACATTCAGAGGAGAGTTGACACCAGTTCTATTTAATCTCTTCAATACTACTGAATTCTTTTTATGAAGCTAGCATAGCCTGGATACATAGACAAGGAAAGGTAGCTCACAAAAAAGAAAAATTATAGCTCCATCTCCCTCATGTACATAGATGGAAAAAGTAGCAACATCAAAAAAAGTAGCAACTACTGTTGGCTAGTAGTCTAGCCAATAGACTTTTGTAACATATCAAAAAAAATTCACACCGTGATCAAGTGAGATTCATACAAGGATGCTTCACATTAGAAATTCAGTTAATCTACCATATAAATAAAACAGTAAAAGAATGACAACTATTTGCATGATCATATCAATCAATGCAGAAAAAGAATAGATACACTCTGCAAAATAGTAATCAAGGACATAGGCAAAAACCCAAGAGCCAACATTCTTCTCGATGGAGAAAGACTTGAGAGGCTTCCCTTGGAAATTGGGAACAAGACAAGGATGACATGGTCACCATTTTAAATCAGTCTCATACTAGAAGTTCTACAAGAGCAATAAGGGAAGAGGTAAAAAAGAGTAATCTGATACAATTTGATGAAGTTGACCTACACCTATAGATACAATCGCTCAAAAGAGGGAACAAATTTTTACAGTGAGCATTCCCACTTTCCCACCCCCTTGATACACAGGGTAGACAGGGACAGGCAACTTGGACATTGGCTACCTAAAATGGCGGGGGGAGGGCTACAAAAGCAAGAAGTGACTGGATTACAAGCTTTCAAGAGGGAGCCTAGACATTTGACCTAGCCTCAATGACTGGGTGATTAGAGCTCAACTAGCAGAAGAAAGAAGAGGAAAAAAAAGAGTAAGCTGATACAGTTTGATGAATTTGACCTACACCTATGGATGCAGTAGCTCAAAAGAGGGAACAAATCTTTTTTTTTTAATGTTTTATTGCGAATTTTGTGATAGAATGAATGTAAAACTAATGTTCTCCCATGTAAACTATCGTATATTGCCTTATTGCCATTGTTACAATCCTCTCCATGTATCATCAACCAACCAAAGGGTATACCCTGCAAGCCTGCCCCCCACACTCCCCCGGTCTTCAGCACACAGTCCCTCTCCTTCTCTGGATCTAAAGTTCCCAGCTGCTCCATCGCTCCACGTCATCGTCTCTGCCTCCATCTCAGACATCACTGCTTCTCT